GAGCGAAAAATGTAAGGGGGTCTGAATACTTTCCGTACCCAGTGTATAGGTATCACTAGAGCGGCCGTTTTTAACAATTAGGCAAAGTTTATATAACGTTACACAATAACGTTGTTGAGTTGCTATGCTCCACCACCTTGTCCTGCAATGTGCTCATCTAGTTTGTGCTGTAGTGCCCTGTGCAAATGATCTTCTGTGGCAATTCATGTTTATAATGTACATTTTATAAATGTTTTGTTATGGCTGTGTATTTATTTTGATAAAGTACCTGTAGTGGTGTGGGGTCAGAGTCAGTGATGACTACATAATGGCTAAGCATGCTTACATTTTGGTGGTTAAAGGTTAAGTTAAATATGCCTACTTGCTGTACCCTATCAGTGTTTGTCATTTCATCAGGCTGTTGATAGTTTAACAGGATGTTAATAGTTTCTTTTTTCATCCTGCTGTATGTTCACACTTCCTACTTCAGGTATGAAAACCATGCTGGCATCATCAATGGTGGATCAGTGTCCATGTTTGAGGGACTGTCATGGCACAGGCTATGTAAGTAAAGTTACTAACCTTCAGAATGTGAGGCAAATGCTTACATATCTGTCAGCTAATGATTCTATCATTGGCTTAGGTGAATCCTATTGTTAGCCATTATTGTCAACTCAATTTCAGGGTTGCTGCTGGTTGTGTTATTTCCTGACATGTTTTTAAAATGTTTGTTGTTTGCTCAACTTTAGGATGCATGGGTCATCCCAGGGAGGAGGCATAAACCTGCAACAGGGTTCCTGGAGGAGCGCCTTCGCAATGTCCTCAGAAAGCTATGTTGCGACAGGCAGGTGAATTCAGCATCACAAATGCCTCAAGAAACCCCTGCCATTTTGCCAGGTATGACAACATGTTGCCCTTTCATCCCCAATCCAATTCATGTCATTGCATTAAGGAGTGTATGTAACTCACTGTCTGTCCTGTTTGTACCTAAACTCTTTTTACTTGAATTCTATATTTTGTAGTTGTCTGTCTTAATCTATCACCGCTTGTCAATTTATTTATTTCATTGCTCATCACAGAAACAACTATAACTGCAGAGAGGGCCATCCAATTGACAGAATGGCTGAAAAACAACATATGGCCAACACATGCTGGAGCCCACCACCCACAGAGCACAGTGCATTCGATCAAATGGGACGACACCAATCCAGCAGATAATTACGGAGTTTCCGCGTGTATTGGCCACTCCGGGTATGGTGAGCATTTCATGTAGCAAGTTTGAGTCAATTGGTTATTGTTTGTGTCTTAAACTCTGTTTTGTATCTGTTTCTTCTCTTGTGCTGTACTTGGATTGCTCAGGATTTTTCAATATTACATCTGGATTCTTCTGGGGGACTAACTGAAAACTGGAACCCTGTGTTCTCAGGGAAGATAATTCACATGGCCAAGAAGGAGAAGACTGCTGACCTTCTCACCAACATACATTTGCTTTCAGCAGGTATTTGCATATTAAAAATTGGTTCTTGATTTTTTTACAGACTGTAGCCTAAACTTTCTCAATTATAACTTTCAGAGAGCAATAGTTAAAGCTTTGGACTTAACAATTTGCAAACATCTTTCTGCAGGGTGAACTGACCCTTTAAACTGCTGAGGTAGACGGCAACATGCTAATGAAAATCTAACTTTATTAAAACATATAAAACTGATGGTGAAGTCAGACATTAGTACAGAATCAGGCCGTGATGAAGAAGCACTCAGATTGTTTACTTAACTTAAAGTGGGAACATGACAGTGTAAAAATACTGTTACACGTAAAAGACCTGCATCCTCAAAATATTACTTAAGCAAAAGTACAAAAGTATCAGCATCAAAATACACCTAAACTGCTAAAAGTAAAGTATTCACTATGCAGAATGACACATTTCACATATATTATTGGATTATAATTTTTTATGCAGTATTTTGTTTATCACTTTGATGTTGTAGCTGATAAAGGTGGAGCTAATATTAACTAGAGTCTGAAGTTCCTCTGGGCTGCGCGGTGGGTAGCGCCATTGCCTCAAGGCGAGAAGGTTCCGTGTTTGTTACCTTTCTGTGCGGAGTTTGCATGTTCTCCCCGTGTTTGTGTGGGTTCTCTCCGTGTACTCCAGCTTCCTCCCACTGTCCGAAGACGTGCGGTTTAGGTTGATTGGTGTCTCTAAAATTGCCCATAGGAGTTAATGTGTGGTTGTGGTTGTTCATCTGCGTGATGGACTAGTGACCTGTCCAGGGTGTACCCCGCCTTTCGCCCGATGCCGGCTGGGATTGGCTCCAGCCCCCCACGACTAAGCGGTATAGAAGATGAGATGAAGTTCCTCCCATTCTACTGCATAGCTTATGAATTTCCCACCAGAGGTTAATAAAGTCTAATGATTATACTGTATTTAGTTTTATTCATCTGACTCTGAAAGGTAATTAAGGTTGACAAATACATGTAATGCAGTAAAAAAGAAAAATACAATATTTGCCTTTGAAATATAATGAAGTCCAAGTATGAAATGGCAGAAGGTGAAACTGCAGATTCTTGGAGGTCTGTAGTGAAGCAGCAGCACTTTCTGGTGGCTGTACCGAGAAGTAAACACTTAAAGCACCTGGCATTTCTAGGCAGAATCCCATCCAAATACTAACCAGGCCCAAAACTCTTTAGCTTCTGAGATGGGCCTTTTTCAGGGTGGTATGGCCCTAAGCAGCTGTTTCATTGATAAGTATAGTATTTATGCTGATCATGACTACCATGGATACTTGTGTGTATTACTGTTCATGGTAACATGATGGTATTTTATTTCATTTCTAGCTAAGCAACTCTGACAACAGTTTACCCACTGATGGAAAAAAAGCTGTCTCTTGCTGCCTGAATGTGACTAAAGTTCATTTTCTTTATTATGGTGCTCAATTTTATTTTGCACTCCGCTTTATATGATATCTTATAAATTAAACTGCACAACAGTTTATACTTTATTTTGTATTACTTCATACTTGGAGTTCACTACATTTCAGAGGCAAATGTTGTACCTGTTACTGCACTACATGTATTTGATAACTGTTACTAGATAACTAAGTTACTAGTTGCATTTCACATTCAAATTATTAAAAACAAAATACATAAGACTAAGACTTTATTAATAAAACTTTATTAATCCCTGGTGGGAAATTCACAAGCTCCCCAGCAGAATGTGAAGTACTTCATATTCTAAGTATATAAGGTAACATTGGCTCTAACTTTTACACAGCAGTGCATCAGTTATTATAATCCAATAGCATGAAATGTGCCATTCAGCATAGTGAGTACTTTAGAAATGTAAGTGTTTCGTTGCTGATACTTTTTTACTTTAAGTAACATTTTGAATGGAGACCTTTTCCTTGTGACAGATCCCGCTTTCCTTCCAAGATTAGGCGTTTGCAGGGTGGTGGGGCCATAAGCGAGAGAACCGGCGACAGTGTTTATACATAAAGATCATCACATTCATCCACACCTCTGTGTGTTTATATTCATAGAAACATGGTGGTAGTTGTGAAACATAAAAACTGTATTACAGTGCCAGAGGGTGATTATTCTTGTACTCAATATAATTTTAATGTAGGCCACATGTACTTTTCTTCAGTAGTTCAGTCCTATGCTACTTTAAACTTCTACTCTGCTACATGCAGTGGAGAAGTTTCTTTGCACATGTGCAGCGGTGTTCAGTACATGTACAAAGGAAACTTTAACACCCAGTCTTTATACTGAATCACTGTTGCCATTGACGTTTAAGTCGTGATGTTAAAACTTTGCTGGCTGCTGAGCTGTTAATCTTACAGCTTGTAACGGCCTAGTTCTGAACTGAAGTCTGAATTAGCTGCGGTCATGCCATCATGAATGGCAATGTGTTTGCAAACTGATGTAGTGTACAGCATGCCATCATGAATGGCAGTGTGTTTGCAAACTGATGTAGTGTACAGTATGTACCAAAGCACATTTAATGGTTACACACTTTGAAAAAAGTTGACAAACCTCAGTCAGTAACTGATTGATGAACTGAACCCAGCGCATGTTGAATCAGCAAGTTGATTTGTAATTTCTACCTCTGTTGCAGGAAGATATCCTCATTCTTAATCATGTGTCCAAATCCCTGATTGGCCGATTGCATCAACAGTAAAGTAGCACTAAAGGTATTTCTACTGGGTGAGGTAGACGGCAACAAACCTAATGAAAATCAAACTTCATTAATAACATACAAAACTGATGGTAAAGTCAGACATGAGCACAGAATCAGGCCGTGGTGAAGAAATACTCAGTTTACTTAAGTAAAAGTAGCAATGCCATCAAAGTCTTCCATTCAAAATGTTACTTAAGCAGAAGTTAGGCTGTGTTATTGTTAGTACATCAATGTCCACAGACGAATCATAAGGCCTCCTACAGCTTCAACAGGATTTTTACATTGATCATTTCAAACGGGTGTGCCGTCTGAAATGTCAGAAAACTTTAGGTATCATTTGTAGGTACTTTCACTGTTACCGTTAGAAAAGTAAATATAATTCACTGTGTGACAATGCTGTAACACTAGCAGTGCTGAGTGGAGTAGTGTGGACCTGTATACCTGTTGTATACCTCTGGTGTCTGCTGAGTAAAAGCTTACAGTAGCTGGTATTCCCAGGTGGTCTCCATCCAAGTACTAACCAGGCCTGACCCTGTTTAGGCTCCATGTGTCTGTCTGTTTCAATGTACAAAAAGCTGTTTTAGAGATGCCGTATCATCATGTAGTGTTATTTATTCTGTATTCCCATCACTTTTGAATGTAGATAATCTCAAAACAAACTGTGCAGGATTTATCGCCACTGATGCAGTACGAGGTCCATTG